GGGGGGGGGGCAGCACCAGAGGCACACGTGTAAATATATCAGTAAACATAAATCTCACGTTAAATAGGGACCAGCATGCGCCCCGCGCTGCCTTTGGCAGCCTTCCCAGCCCCGTGGCAGCAGCTCAGCCGCTTGCTATGCTTTCTGTCCTGCAGAACGCCCTAAAGAACGGGGAGTGCTCGGAGTCCTCGGACAAGCAGTCGGGGACCAAGAGGAAGAACAACAAGAAGAACCGAAGCAGAAAGAAGAGCAACTCCGTGTCATCGAAGCAGGTCACCCTGGCTGTGAAATCAGCTGCTGTGTAGCTGTAGAATGAAGTGTCATGTAGCATGTTGCTATGCTTTCTGTCCTGCAGAACGCCCTAAAGAACGGGGAGTGCTCGGAGTCCTCGGACAAGCAGTCGGGGACCAAGAGGAAGAACAACAAGAAGAACCGAAGCAGAAAGAAGAGCAACTCCGTGTCATCGAAGCAGGTCACCCTGGCTGTGAAATCAGCTGCTGTGTAGCTGTAGAATGAAGTGTCATGTAGCATGGGTTTGTGCCCACTTGTGCTAAAATGTAGCATCTTCATCTGGAAAGCGTGGTGTGATGGTGATGATGCTGAAGCTTTACCTTGCTTATAGGAACCTTATTTATAGGGCCCTCTTTATAGGAAACTTATGTCGAGCACTTTAGCTAAACAGAAAGGAAAAATCTGCCAGGGTGAGAGGTGGAGAGCACCACCTCAAGGTGGAGAGCAAAAGTTATGTTTGCAAAATGGCTTCTTTTTCAGTGGTCATTGATCATTCAGTGCTCTTACCTGCCCCCCTTGCCTCTGTTCCAGTGGAAGGTTGGTGACAGCTGTAATGCGGTTTGGTCTGAGGATGGCAACATCTACCTGGCCACTATTGTCTCCATTAATCACAAGAGGGGGACGTGCGTCGTTATTTACACTGGATATGGCAATAAGGAAGAGCAGAACCTGTCTGACCTACTTCCTGCAGCCATCGATGAAGCAGTATATGAGGTGGGAAATTCTCGGGAGGTGGGAGGGCAACTTTTTTGTTCCACTGAAAAGGAAAGAAAAAGCAGGAGAGCCAACCTTTACAGTATTTCAGCTACCCTGCCATGGTGAGACAGAGGATCAGAGTTTCTGCTGTGAAGGAGCACAAAGCAAAAGAGGGAGTGGAAGTGGAAAGCACCCCCCTGGACTCAGTATGGGTGAAAGGGATGGGGCAGGGGTGAAGTCTATGAGTAAAAGATAAAATGGCTCAAATGATGAGCAGGGACATGTTAAGATTATCAGATTATTCCCGAATGGCCTAGAAAACTGGTGGTAGAACTGGGGGGCTAGAGAGAAAGAAGGAAGAATGTGGACAGCACTTTCCAAGTGCAGTTTTATGCTGAAAGTATTTATTTTAGATTTCCGTTTAATGTATATTATAAAAACATGTCTTGATCTTCTAGAATGAAAATGAGACTCAATATTCAACAGATGAAAGTGAAAAATCTTCCCAATCACCTCAAAACAAAAACTGCACAAAAGCTAGATTCTCTCCTCGAAATTTACGTTTTCCCATGCCCCATGCAGCTCCAGGCCTGAGAAAGGTAAGTTCAGCCTTCTTTCTTGCCTGTAAAATGTGACTTTGGGGAGGGGTTTTGTTCCCTGGCAGTGTTGGTGCTGTTAATGACACATTCTTGATGCTTTAAAAGAGCGTGTTTACCGGCCACCTCAGCACTGCACAAGACATTGCTGGCACACGCTGCCCTGGAGTATATTCACCTGCCAGTGGTGAATATAAGTTTCTTCACGTGATAGTGCAAGCAGAGACTTCTCTTTAGAAAACAAAACCACTTAAATTAAATAGTGCAGTTTCAATTCCTTGACATCCAATGACATAAGTAGTGTAAACTGTAGTTCTCAGAAAGAAAGAGCTACTTTTTGTTCTTGTTGCCGTTTCATTATATTGTTGTGATGTGTTGCCTTTAGTTAGGGTTTATGAATTGCTTCAAGTAATTCTCCTAAGTAACTCCTTAATGCCTCAAATTTCCTTTTAACTTGAACTATTCAATCATTTTAATTTAGCCTGGATCGAAATTAAATGCTCCTCTGCCATTTTCATCTTGCTGGCCCCCTCCCTTCCCAGCAGGACCCCCGGTAAGTAACAGCAGAGTGAGGTGAAGTGGCAGGTGAGTAGTCCGGATCTCCAGTTTTCTAAGGGAATTTCCTGGTCCTCTCTGGTTTTGGAACACGTTTATTAGAGTGTATTTTCTAGGTATTGCCTATGCACTTAATGACAGTATCACAAGAACTGAATGTGTCACGCATAGTGTGTAGTCATTTTTTTTTGTGACAGCAAAGCAGTTGATGGGAATATCAAGAAAAAAATACTTGTATGAAGAGAAATAAATTCTCTAAAGGGTTGTGTGCCTTTCCCTTGATTAACAGCATTTCATTGATACGGGCAAGCATTTTTTCTAAATAAAACTTCACCTAAATCATCAAGCCACAGGAACCATATTTCTTAGAAGCTTTGGCAATGAAATCTTTTCAACTCTTATTTAACTGTCCTTTTAAATAATGCTTTGAGGATATGTTCTTGTTTTTCAGTTTTGCATGTTCATCATTTAGGATTGTCCGAAACACAGGCAACTCACACATCTTCTGTAATTTTGCAGCTGATTCCTCCTCCACCCCCTATCGGGCCAGATTCCCACGAGGATGATGAAGCGTTGGGGAGCATGTTGATAGCCTGGTACATGACTGGTTATCACACTGGGTATTACCTGGTACGTGCTACTTCTCTTGGGAAATGCCTGTGTAAGCTTCCTCGGGTATCGCTGCTGCTGTTCTCAGCAAAAAGTTGATTGGGAATGTTGCTTTTTGGCCCTCTGATATGATAGCTAGGCATGCAAATATAAGATATAAGATAGATAGTGTGGGTGTTTCATGCTGTGCAAGTTTTCTCATCTTTAAATAAAAAGTACTTGTCCCCTGAAATTGCACATTTATGCAGTGTTTAAGTCTTTGTTCCTGGGAAGGTGTTTTATTAGGCCCCATTAGTAAAACAAGCAGTTCTGGTTTTGTGGACAGGAGGTGTAAATGTCAGTATGATTATTATTCGATAGAGTTCTATGGACTTTGAGCATTGATGCTCATAATGCTTAGAATCAGCTTTGACAATATTGAAAATACTTCGTTCTTTAATAATTGTTTCAGGTGATTGTGAAGGGCTGGTATGAGCTATCAGTGTTAAAATCTGTGAAAAATCTATGACAAAAGGATTGATTTCTGTTGTCTTTGTATATGTAGAAAGAAAATTACAGAAAGAATTCAAGTCTTGACATTGGGGAGGTTGGGAATGGGACAGTGGCTGAAAACTGATGTGAAATTATTGTGTGGAGACACTGGTTATGATGAAGACATTTAGTTTACAGTTTGGTATCTTGTCTTTTTAATTCTCCAGTTCTGATAGCCCTAAAGAAATAAAAGCTACTCTTGCTTTATAAAGGAGTGGAAAGAAAAGGCCTAAAAAGTTTTTATTTTGTGGCTTAAGCTTTTATTTTCATGTTAGTTAGTAAAAACAGGATTTTATTACATTGTGTCCTATAGGGTTTAAAGCAGAGTCGAATGGAAGCTGCCCTAGAGAGAGAATCCCATCCTAAATAACTGAATATCCAACATCGTCTTGAAGGACTGTAAGTATTGTTATTTTATCCTGAGCAAAGATACACTGTCAGTTGAAAAATTTGTTTGAAACGTCAATGTCATGAGCTCTCGGAGAGCTTGACATCCATGCAACTGTTTTGGGATCCAAGAATTCCCACTGCTCTCACGCCTCAGATTCTGCCGGTACCTGATCCTTTCTTGCTTCGCTGCAACGGAGTAGTATTTTCATGGCCAAAGAGAAAGAAAATAGTTTTATATTCTGTTGAATTATTTCCTGCTCCTTACTTTTGTGCCTGCGCTTTCATCTAAAATCTTCACAGCGCTGTTCAATTCCTTACAGCACAAAACTATATCACATAACTCTTCTGATTCTGACACGCATCTCATTGCTGTGCAGATGAGCTACTGGTGTTTAAAAAATCCACATATACTGACTTAAATTTTGTTTCTTTTTTAAAGCCAGGTTCAAGTCTCTCCCACGGAGAGGGATATATCACTTGTGAATTGGTGGATGGTGAAGATCAGAATTTTATCAAGACAACCTCGTTTTGTTAATAGTGATATAATTAGTAGACAAATTACTGGAGACTAGAAATTCTATGTTCATTGAAGCAGATTATTTCCTAACAACATCCAGTCAAACATATTTAGTAAGCACTGCAGCAATAAAAAAAAATCAATAAAATGCTCTTTATTTCCTTGAAACAATTTTAGGCCTAATGTGAATTCAAACAAAAAAACTTGGTAGATTTCTTTCAGTGTGCAGTTTAACACCTCTTGTAACTATTTTGTCTTGTATCTTAGAGTTTTGATATTTTTATTTTTTTTCCTTCTGAGTTACAAGCCCAGTGCTTTTCACTAGAGCAAGCAAGCGCGGTATTTTCTGCCAAGACATGGTTGTGGCAGCAGTGTCCATTACTGAACTGCCGCTGGCACTGACCTAGAAAACAGTGCACTGCCAGAGTGAGAGAGGCCTATTTTTATAGTTAGCCAAACTCAAAAAGGTCGGTTGGTTTGTTTGTTTCACATGCCCGTGAATAAAGTTTCCTTTCAAACTTTGAATTTTAGCGTGGTTTTGTTTTGTTTTTAGTTTCTGTAAAAGTCTGTCTGCTATATGAGTTGCTGAAATATGCCAGGAAGTTTTTGCTATGTGCCCTTAACTGCTCCATACTAAAACCAACATGAAAAGCCAGGCTTGGGAATAGAAAGCCCAGCTTTACACCTCAGCTCTTTCAGTCTTAGCCCTTGTAGAAGGAAGGCTGCAGCTACAAAACTGGATAATGAAATAGCTGCATAACTGGATAATGAGCACTTTGCATTACAGGAGAAGCAGCCCAATACAGCTCTGGAGATCTGTGGGTGGTCCCAGCATCATGATCTCATTGGAATCAATGAGACATGGTGGGATAGCTCACACGACTGGAGCGCTGCCATGGAAGGCTGTGTGCTCTTTAGGAAGGACAGGCTGGGAAGGCGAGGTGGTGGAGTTGCTCTTTATGTGAGAGAGCAACTGGAATGCATGGAGCTCAACCTGGGGGTGGAGGATGAGCGAGTTGAGAGCCTGTGGGTAAGGGTTACAAGGCAGGCTAATGTGGGAGACACTGTGGGGGGTGTCTGCTACAGGCCACCTGATCAGGACAGGGAGGTTGATGAGGCCTTCTATAGTCAGCTGGCCCTGGTTCTCACGGGGGACTTCAACTACCCCGACATCAACTGGAAGGACAACACAGCCAGGCACAAACAGTCCTGGAGGTTCCTGCAGTGCGTTGACGATAACTTTTTGATGCAGGTTGTGGAGAAGCCGACGAGGAGAGGTGGGCTACTGGACCTCGTGCTATCAAATAGGGAGGGCCTAGTAGGAGATGTTAAGGTGGGGGGTAGCCTCGGCTGCAGTGACCATGAGTTGGTGGAGTTCACGATTCAGCGAGGAGGAGGCAGGGCTGTAAGTAGCCTTGCGACGATGGACTTCAGGAGGGCCAACTTTAGCCTCTTCAGAGACCTCCTCGGTAGAATCCCATGGGCTAGTGCTCTAGAAGGAAGGGGGGCCCAAGAGAGCTGGTTAGATTTCAAGCGGCACTTCCTCCACGTCCAGCAACAGTGCATCCCTGTGTGTAAGAAGTCAGGCAGAGGGGGCAGG